GACCAAAAGTGTCCCGAAACACTAACAAGACCCCGGGTGTCAAAAGAGCTGCGGGGATACAGCTCATGTTTCTGGCGACGGGACGGGCCGCTGAGCGACTAGTAAAACTCCAACACCCAGGCGAGCAATTACATCTCCCCAAGGACCCCTGAACAGTCAAAGGTGTCCATTGGTGACCAGAGTGGCCCTTGGTGGCCAGTGCGGTCCTTTAGCAGACGCCACCGGCCACGGAGGATTCCCAATGGCCAGAGCTGGGCCCTCAGGGACCAGAAGGGCCGCGAATGACTAAGGCGGCCCATTACCGGTCGGAGATACCCTGAGCACGCAGGACCCCGACCGGCCAATGCTACCCATGGGCGACCAAAGGGCCTCTAGATGGTCTCGAGGTCCGCTTGGTTTCCTGATCCAGCTTTGAATACCCTTCGCAGCTATAGCGGCCCGTACCCTACCAGAATGTCCCAGGTGGTCAGGAAGGTTCATTAAATGGCAATATGGGTCCCTGTTTTCCACGTGGGCCATACCGAGCATCCAGAAGAAACTAATTTGCTACTGCCTAAATGGTTTTGGCAAAAAAACCTCTTTGAGCATCTCGGATTCACTGTGTCATTGTTTCATGGACTGTCGGAGCGAGAGAGCACTCTCAAAGTGCGCCTAAATGTATGTATTTCCGTAGACAAAAGAACGCCATCGCAGAGCAAATCTATTTCGAAGCTACCAAATGAGATAAGTTTTGCTTGGCTGCTAAGCCCGCAAAATACTGAACGTGAAAACGTACACGCTGCAGTTGCTTAACGGGGTGGCAGAGTGGTTGTAAGAGTTTCGAAGTTCGAAGATCAGAACGCAAACGATGCTGGGAGAGGTGAGCGAACTGCACTTAGGTAAACTTCAAGTAATTTCAAGTGTACGGCTCTGTCGTGGATTACCGCCATTAGATCCCCTCAAACTAGGCGATTGGAGTTTGGCAGAACAGGCGTTCTTTCTGGCCTTAATCCCGGTCAATACGAGTGAAACTGTAGAACTTGAAACGTGTCGCTGATTAGTGCCACAACACGCGGACGACACAAAGCCGAGCAACAATCAATATATGTTTATGATGCTGTTAAATATACACCACGCAGGAAAGACAATTCTAAAAAATAACCAGGTACAAACACGGTGCTTTAAGTGTGACTAGCAGTCAGCTGCACTCAATTGAACGCGACATCACAGTTTTCGCTTTCTTGTTTCTTTTACATGTGAAGCAATTATAAACCTTCTATACATTTGATAATACTTTGATCTCCCACTTTTAATGCTTTCCTTGTACTTAGGTGCCAAAACGCTCGATGAGGGAGACGCAAATTCATCGCTTTGGGAATTGGACATTGGAGGGGGGGGGGGGGGACGGTGGCCATGCCCCAAAAATGCAAGCCAGAAAAGTGTGGTCAATTATTAACCAAACTACAAGCTTATTGCCAGTCGCGAGATCTCGTCAAAGCCAGTCCACTGGTGGCTTCCGCTAGGCTGTCGTCTTGGTTTTGGAATGGCGGGTGGTCGCATCGACCCCTATCAGTCCATGTTTTAAAAACAGCGAATCAGGGCGAGGATTGGTGACTTGTGTACAGTAGCGCAGGAGAGGGGGCACAGGGGGCACGTGCCCCCCATAAGGAACCTACCATTCAGGGTCCCATTTGAGGACCCGATAGGCTCGAAAGGCTGTCCGGAGACGCGGTTCAGGGCCGCGGCCTGCAAGGCCAAGCACTCCAATGCCAAGCCAGCAGGCCCCTGCCGCTGATCAAAGGTCTCTGAGTCGATCTGGGTGTCTATGCATGGGCCCGACACCACCAGTAACGCACAGTCGGCTCCGCGGGCGATATGGGCCTGAGGATCTGTTTCTCAAGCATAGGCAAATCCAGAGCCAGCAATTTGCAATGGGACCAGGTGCCCCCCGGCGTCTGTCAATGTCCCACAGCGCCCGACAGGACATTGTGTTGTCAGGGAGCTCCGAAGCGGCCAGAGGCAGTGTCCGAGGAGGCCCAAGGGCTTTCAGGGCGCGCCGGGTCCAACGATTCAAGGGGCCGATTTGAGAGCTTAAGGGCACGAAGGGCTGATCAGTCTTGTTCAGGGGCCTCGCCTGCGGGACTGGCCTCCAAATGAGTCATCGATCGATCGAGTCACCCGTGCATAGATCAAGAGCCCCCTGAGCCGATAAGGGCCTATATGCCGGTCAGGCTCCACCAGTACCGCGCAGCCTGCTCCGTATTGGTATGGGCCCGAGGACCCACTTCCCAACCAGTTACAAGACCCGGGCCAGCGACTTACACCGGTCGGAACCCCTGTATCTGTCAGGGACCCACAGCACCTAACAGAGGGGTTCAGTGCTCACAAGGGGTCCCCGAGCCGAACAAGGGCGGTATTCTATTAGGCCTCAGGAGGGGCTTGGGCGGCCCAATGGAATTGGCGATCAAAGGTCCGGTTGGAGGGTATGAGGGCCTAAAGGGCTGACTGTGTGTCACATAGTCACAATCCCGCAGGTTGGCGACCTAAAGTACCAGCCAGCGATCCTCTTGCACCGTTTGAGGACACCCTTAGTCAATGTGGTTGTCCATGTATGAGTTTGAGTTTAAGCTACTTCTCTTTACTGCTATAGCATAGCGATTTTTAACAAACTTATCAGGGGGTCAAGCTCTAATTTGTGTCAATTATGAAGGTGTGCAATTATGTTAATCATTGTGTCAATTAATGAAGCACACCCGAGCAGCCCGATTTTATATTGGACTTGCGTTTCACCTTAATTCCTTGTTTTTCAGACTGCCACTTCGCAATTTCAACAGATTACTCAGAAAATAAAGCTCTATCAGTGCAACGATTTTGATGTACATCCAAGTAGCCTGATTTTGGCCTTTGAACTTTTGAGTACGCCGTAGCTTCTTTGCATTCATAGTCTGGCTCAAAGCAATTCCAAGAGAATGATGAGGAAATGGAGCTTGATCAGTCCACCGACTTTGAAGGTAATCCGAACAATCCAATGTTTTCACCCTGGACTCCTTGACCGACTATAGCAATTTTGCTTTCGGACCCGCTACATTACACTTACACCAGAAGGATCAGGAAGTTAAGAGCTATCTTTGTGCTGATTTCCAGACATATTGAAAGTCTGCGAAGATGGATCCGAACGCCAATCTGAGCATCGTTCCAATTTGACGCGCGTAAACGTTGCGTTGTTTGGGTTCATACTCTTTTGTCACAGCCACGCCAGAAATGTATCATGCAATAGGTCTTGGCCTTATATCAGCTAGGACGGCTTATTGTAAGTCCTTGGCTTGCACTTCCAGTGTTTGTTCGCATTGGGCATATGCCCGCTCTTGTGTGTTGCAGGAGACGTCTTATGTACGTGTTATTCCGTCGTTAAGTATAAAAGTGAACACCTGCAGGTTAGTGAATGGAACCAATGTTAAATGGCCTTGAATAGAACCGCGGACCACATGTCTGGGTAGTCATCATTTTGTAGTACAGAGCCGGTAGCCTTGCCTAGTTGCTTCTTGGCTTGCCTCTGAGGCTTAGTTTCGCAAAATAGGTATGGGGGAGAGGGGGGAGGGCTGGGCCATGGCAAATTGATGCAACCTTTCCATGGAATGCACCAACAAATGGGTATTGTCCAGGTCCGGCCATCTTTCTGCTTTAAACACAGGGGAACCCAACTTGGTGCAGGGGAGGGTAATGCCAGCATAGGCCTCCCTAACTTAAAAGGAAACCACACCCCTTCCTTGCTCCATAGAACATTGAATGTAGAACTTAGAACACTGAATGTGGAACAATATTGGGTTGATCTATATTGGAGAAGATATTATGCTGCCCACATGTGTGCTGGATATTCGGCCAATTGTAGATAATCTGGAAGGGCATCTGACCATATTTTAATTGCTTAAAACTGCTGTTATGTATCACATGCTGGCTGGTTGTAAAAGCTTAACAATTCCCTGTGTTGTTGCACAGTTAGTTGAATAAGCACCACTACATTGGGGTCTTGTCTTCATGCTCATCCTCACATGTTCTCATAAACAAATAAACAGGGGATCACAAGCATTGTTTTCTTAACATCCCACACCACTCCTCCCATCAGACCATACCAGTACAGCATCCAATTCTTGGCCAGTAATCTTGCTGCACTGTCCTGGGCAGCTGATAGAGGCCAGTTCAGTATGCAAGAACAGCTTTGCACATACTAGGGCAGTCCTAGGGTACTCTCTGCCCCCCCCCCCCCATGGAATCTGCTGGGGCATGAGTGCATGGTGGTTCCGTGCACCCAGTTCAATAAGTCTGCTGTGCAGCTACTGCCTCCATGTGTGGATGAGCACCAGGGGACATCATCCTTCCTGCAGGGCCCAGCATTTTGGATCACACTCATGCAGATATTAACTGATCAGGTGCACCCACCTTTACATGAGTTTTGCACACCTATATCCAATAAGAAAAAAATTGACATGGGGGAAAAGGAAGTACAGGCAGATCATTAGATGTGTGGATTCACACCAAAGTTGACAAAAGGTGAAGCAAATACATATTAATCCAAAACACACCAAAATTTATGCAAGTCACCTCTTGCATAGTTGGATTTTGCAGGGGTTATGGAGCTGACAGGCTTTCTTAGCACTAAGCCATTTGTAAGTGATTAATGTTTCAGCTATGCCAGGAGGTTGTCCAGTATCAGGCACTGGCATCCACAGCACCCATTCTTATCTGGGTACAGGACATGAGGTCCACAGCACCCTTTCTTGTCTGGGTACAGACATGACATCCACAGCACCCCTTCTTGTCTGGGTACAGACATGACATCCACAGCTCCCTTTCTTTCTGGGTACAGACATGATGTCCACAGCACCCCTTCTTGTCAGGGTATGGACATGATATCCACAGCACCCTTTCTTATCTGGGTATGGGCATGATGTCCACAGTACCCTTTCTTATCTGGGTATGGGCATGATGTCCACAGCACCCTTTTTTATCTGGGTACAGACATGATGTCCACAGCACCACTTCTTGTCTGGGTATGGACATGACGTCCATGGCACCTCTTCTTGCCTGGGTACGTACATGACGTCCACAGCACTCTTTCTGGTCTGGGGTAGGGTGGGTACAGATATGACGTCCACGACGCCCCTTCTGGTCTGGGCACAGACATGGCGTCCACAGCACCCATTCTGATCTGGGGTAGGGTGGGTACGGACATGACGTCCACGGGACCCCTTCCGGTTTGGGGTACGGCGGGCACGGATGTGGTGCATCTTCACACACTATATCTTACATTATTTGAAATGATATTTGAAATATGTTAACATTGAATGTGTGCTGTTGTCCCCTGCCGTCTTTCAGGGATACCCTTCGCGAGATACTGTGACCGCCAAAAACGGCATTGTCACCAGGTTGCTAGGCGCAGAACAGAAATCGACATCTGCTGACTCGACCAACAGCCTTTCTGTGACTACCGCCTACCGCTTAGCTATGGGTGTACCCATGGTTGCTGCCTTATGTTATATATGTAGCATAAAGCCCGACCATATTTAACAAGCGCCCGCGTGGCCGGCTAGATACCCTTTGCTCGGGGAGGTCAACTTGACCCCCTGAGATCTTGGGAACTAAGAAAGCTATTGACACCAAATTTACGGGATGTGTTGACCTGTACGTGAACTCACTTAGGTCAAAGTTCTAGGCTCCTAGGTCATGACCTTCGGGTCAGTAAAGGCCAAGCAAGGTCAAATTCCAGGTTGGTCTCCAAAGTGCCCCCAGAACCTAGATAACTGTTTCTAAGCAAAAGGTCACGTGCTCATCTAAGGTCAGTGACCTTTTTGACCTTTTGAAGGTCATAGTATCCAAAATCTTAGGAGACTGCTCTGAGTTTTGCCTGTGAACAAGTGACAAAGCTTATGCTAGGCAGTATGTTTCTTAAAACAATGTTGACCTGGGTCATTTTAGGTCAGTGACCTTTTATGACCTCTAAGAAGTCCATGGAAGATGTATAATGCGGTTCCTGCTATCAATCAATCGAAATGGGCACCAGACACTACCCCATACAGCAAACCCTAAAGTAATAAAACGGGTTGGTTATGGCCTTGGTTGGACCCTCATACCTGACCCTAGGTTAACGTAATTTGCTCATTCAGTATTTGTGTTGCCTAAGAAAGGATCTCAGAGATGTATGGTTTCGTCTAACACTCCGTTGTTGCATCAGGTTGAAAGATTCCCAAGGAATGGATCGTTAGTTACTCCGATACGTATAAAAAGCACCGATGATGAAAACGCTACAGACATCGCCACGATAACATGTACAATATCTACCACCCACCACCTAATTACTCCCATCCTGCGAAGCGTTTGTCAGTTTTCGGTTGGAGAGAGTGCGTTAATAAACATGCTCTCTCAAATTTGAAAGCGTGTTCTGTCATTGCGCGTCTGATGAATGTCAGTGGTTTCCGTCAGTCGTTGTCGTGTCCATGTCCCGTCATGTTCGTGGCGCATGCGCTCCAGAGGTGCCCCGTCGCGTAAGTGCATTGTCAGGCGTCGCGCGATTGTCGTGATTACGCCAATGTAGTGTATGGAACGAAGTTTGCGGCCTTCGAGATAGCATTGAAAGTGATGTGCTACACTGGTGCATTTTAGCTCGTCGGGCTTGCCAGGGGTGTTTCTCATAGGAAAGTTAGAGATTTGCCTATTGTGATAATAAATGGCAATGTATACTCTGTGGTGGTTCTCGCCTTTTACGTGTCGAGAGACGATTTTCCGTACATTTTTTTCGCCATCTTTGTATGCAGATGCTATTTGCTTTTACTTATACACTTGGACGGTTGGTAGTTTGTCATCGCGGTTTTTTGTTAAAGTGTCTTGTCACGTGTCATCGCATTTCGCTTTCAACCTCGGAATTTGAAGAAAAACATGATTCCCCAGGATCTGCCTGATTCGTACCAATTCCGACTGTAGTCTTGTACGATCAGAGCAGTGCTTAAATGCATGTTTAATAAATGAAAACGAAGTACAGCGACACGTGATAAAATGCTTTAACAATACACCACGACAAGACAACCAGCCAACCGTCCAACTGTATTGTAAAAGTCATATGACATTTGCCTACAAACGAGACGAAAAAGCTCTACGTGAAATCATTTCTCAACACGTAAAAGGCGAGAACGACCACAGAATACGTTGTAATTTATTACCGCAATAGGCAAATCCCTGACTGATGCGGAACAGCCTTGTAAAGCCGACAAACTAAAATACGCCAATGTAGTGTATCAATTGAAATGTAATCTAGCGTGCAAACTTTGTTCCATAAACAACACTGGCGTAACCACGGCACTGTCACGACACCTGGCAATGCACTTCCGAGGTTGCATTGTCAGGCGTCGTGAGTGTCGTGATTGCAATACATGCGCTCCTGACGCGACGGCGCACCTCTGCAGCGCGTGCGACACGAACATGACGGGACATGGACACGACGACTGGCGGAAAACACTGACATTCCTCAGACGCGCAATGACAGAAGACGCTTTCAAATTTGAGAAAGCATGTTGATTAACGCACCCTCTCCAACCGTAAACAAACAAAGGCCTGCACAACTCTTTACGTATTAGGTGGTGGGCAATAGATACTGTAGATGCGATTGTGGTGATGTGTCTGGTATCCTGATGGGCGCATTTTATACGTATCCAAACAACGATCATAATTTTTGTCTTCTATTAAAATCTATCATTTATGATGGTGATGCACACCTTTCATCCTTGAAAAATCTGAACTTGTTGCTTGTGGCATTTATATTTTTCCAACGATGAGATAATGGCTCGAAGCCTTAGAATGTACAGATATCGTGGAATATATGAGTGATTTTGCACGAACAATTTTAAATCGTAACACACACCCGCATGGCCGTTCAAATACCCTTTGCTCGGGTGTGGGTGGGGGATCAGTTTGTCCCCTGAGATCTCGGAAACTAAGAGAGCTTGAGAGATTAAGTTCACATTATGGGCTGGTCCGCACGTGAACTTTTAAGGCTCCTAGGTCATGAACTTGCGGACAAATAAGGTCAAACAATGTCAGACTCCAGATTGGTGTTTAAAATGCTCCCAAGTCCTCACGCCACCGCCGTGAAGCAAACTACCTGTTTTAAGCGCGAGGCTAACTTGTGTCCAATCATGCCTAATTAAGTTAAGCGACCTTATTTTCGAAAGTCAGGGTAACCAAATGCCTTCGAGATTGGTTCCATTTTGCCATCAGGATAAGCGTCAGGGACTACGCTAGGCGGCATGCTCTTAAAAACAAGGTGTTCAGGTGCGTCATTTTATGTCAGGGACCTATTCTGACCTTTAAAAAGTCCATGGAGCGTGTTTGTTATGGTCCCTGTCGTTGATAAATTCAAAATGAGCTCCAGAAGCTACCCCATAAACCAAGCTCTCGAGTAAAAAGCAAGTTAATTTTGACCTCGGTCTGACCTTTATACCTGATCTTAGGTCGCTGGAATTGGTTGTCATTCTAAATTGAATCGGTGTTCTGCCTAAGAAACTCTCAGATATGTATGGCTTCATCTAGTACTCTGTTGTGGCAAAACATGGTCCGGCTCTCTGAAAATGGTCATCGCTGACAGCCATGGCCTGACTTTGACGGGCCATAGGTTATGGACTTTACAAGGCACGTCTGATTTGGGCATGAAAACATCCGCTATTCAATTCTCCACAATTATGCAAATTTTGGGCCGGCTACACCGCGCGGTTCGGAAATTGCTGTGGAAAAACCCCCGCGGTCAATTTGACCCCCATCCTAGTGCGTGTTAACGACACTAAGTCAAAAAACCCGGAGCCACAAGCAATGCATCAAAAAGCTCGTGAATGCGGAATCAGCGGTTGTACATGCATGAAGGAAAACAGTATGCAAAGATATACGGGCCTGTCTTTATATATATATATATATATATATATATATATATATATATATATATATATATTACCTCCTTAAACATAAACAAGCCCACGCTTATACCCTCCCCCCACAGAAAATTGAAATGGAGCCGAACTCGTGGGTGTTCCTTTTTTCCTCACCGTAATGGAGTGTGTTGTAATGTTGGCTTACGGTAGGAGAATGAGTGGATGGATTGGGTTGCACGTAACCTAATCGATGGAATTTGGTGACGCGGGATAACCCGATTCATCGCAGATTGTTGGATTCTTGTAGCACGCATTATCGCATTGTAGCCCAGTGTTTCGCCTTTTTGCTCTTGGTTTCAGCTCGGAGTGTAATAAAGGACGTGTTTTACATTTGCATGGGTTTGGAACTGAAATAGCCGTCTTGAATATCATTCGGTGCATTAACAGCCCTGCTCTTACCAACACCTAAACCCTTCTAGCTTCTGAACTACACGCCCGCGAAGATGTGCAGACATTTCTTGCGGACTTTCAAAGGCCACCCAGGCATCCATGACGCCATGATAACGTCATTCAAATTCTGCTATTCCATTGGCCCCGTGGCGGTCATTGCTAGAACAATATAAGTGTCGAGTTGTTCACATCTGGCGTTCATGAGCATGATATCCAGATAAACCGGTCGTCAGTTAGCTCTCAACTAATGTTGTGTGAGTTGCAATGACGCAATCAAAGAATCAGGTATTGAGGAGCATGTGTAGTAAATAGAAATATTGTGTTGTCTAGACAGTCTTTTCTATTAAAGGTATAACAACAGTTATAATTGAGCTTATTTCACCCTATCTGTTGGCTGCTTCAATGTCTCCAAATGTGGAACATTCTCTTAAAGAGCAGTGAAATATGCAGCTTCCACGGCTTATTTAGAAAATTTGGCGACTTTCACGGCTTAAAGCTAGTTTTGCGACCAACAGAAATTGCAGCAGTTTGGTGATCAGCATGTCACATGTGGTCTTTCAAGCATGTTGGCCCATTACAGGTTTCTCGAGGATTGTACAAGTGAGACATTCATTCACCATACCTCATCATGGCAGAGAGTGACAAGTTGAACTGGATGTATGAGGGTAACAAGTCAACCTTGAATAGAGAGGAATACTTACTTGGTAAGCAAATTGATAGCAACTTTGAGAGACAGCAGGATGAGGAGAAGGCGGCAGGTCCAGTGTATAAAGTGGAGCACGAAATTCTTCCCGGATCCGTGGCGCGGAGGGATCTTGGCCAGATGCAAGTGGATCTAGCCAGGAAGATACAAGAAGACCCGCTTTTTCAAATACGTAAGCAGGAGGATCAAGCATTGCAGGAGCTAATGGATAACCCGATAAAGCGCAAACAACTAGAAAAGTTACGAAAAGCGGAGGCAGAAGGAGAGGACGGTAACAAGAAAAAGAAACACAAGAAACAGGAAGAAGATATTGACAAAAAGCTCTTTGCTAAGATGGCTTTGTTGCTCCAGAATGGCTCCGAGTCTAGTGATTCGGACAGCGATGATCATGAGCCTAAAAAGAAAAAGAAAACGAAGAAAAAGAAGAAGGATGCGTCAAAGTCCAAAAAGAAATCTCACCGTAAGGAAAAGAAAAAACGGCATCGAAGCAGTTCCAGTAGCAGTTCCGGAAGTGAATCGCCCGCGCCAGCCAAGAAGAAGAAGAAGCCGTCCCGCAAGCGGTCGCGGTCGCGGAGCTCCAGCGCTGGAGACCGGCGCAGCGGGAGTGAGGGGGCCTGCCGTGCGCGGCAGACGGCCCGGCCCGACGGCGTGCCATCCAGGCGACACGCGGACAGGTGGGTGTCGAGGCGGACGGCCGCTGGGCCACCAGACGACAGGTGGGTGTGGAGGCGGGACGGCCGCTGGGCCACCAGATGCAGTCCGATCGCTGACGCTGCTGTGTTTCAGGCACGACGAGCACCTGAGATGTGTTATACACCGCACATATATGGTTGAAACGAAGGGTTCATTTTCTTTTGTCGCATTACAGGTTGATGAAGTGAGCAATGCTTCTCAGTCCTATGGAATTTGTGGAGCTACTGTATATGTACGACATTTCATTAGTCGAGCATATCAATGACCGTATTGCACGTCCGAGGTTTGCTTTCACTAAATGCAGGACGGGAGAGGCGACTCTACACTGTATCTTAAAAACCTGCAGCATCATCAGATGTTTTGTCTTTGCCTCGTTTTTGCAGCTCTTTATCTCAGGACACCGTCGAGAAAATGAAGTGTCATTTCATTGTTTTTGCGTTCATTGCTGGAATGCTTATTGAATATGGCGTGTAGGTGAGATAACCGCGGGGTGGGGGAAACGTTGGGGAGTGAACGTATCTCTTAAAAACAACGAGAAAACTATCGCTGCGCATGTGACGTGGCACGGAGATAACGGCCTTAACGCATCACCTGTGGCCGTCGGTCCTCCCTGCCGCTCAGTTCGGTCGTCCAGTGACGCCGCCCGCTGCTCGCAGTCCAGGGCTGAACTGTCAGCTGAGGGCAGCGGCCCCGAGCCCCTCCAACTTGATACAATGTCACACCCCTGTTACGCACTGCCCACAGAACTTGACCACGCCCTTGATCACGTCCGTTCTCGGCCATTCACTTGATCACGATAGGTGATCGCCCAGCTGGCAGCGCTGCGTCCACTTCGATTGATCACGATTGGTGTAACTCGGTTGCGGGATATCCGTGTCGTGCCGTTTGTCTCCATCCCCGACCTCGTAGGAGTTCAGTGGACGGTGGCTGACGTGGCCGTCATTTTGAACGCCGTGACACGTCTGAGTAGCTGAACTGATGCCGTGTATTGTTTATTCCACCAGTGCAAGCCGTCCGGAGAAGGACGGCGGAGCCGGGGAGAAGTGTGGCAGAGGACGGGACGGCAGAGGCGGTGAAAGGCACAGGCTGGAGGAGGGCAGCCGCGGTGCAGACAGGGAACGAGCGAAGCAGGACAGCAGAGGTGGACACAGGGACCGAGGAGAGCAGGACAACAGAGGCGGTCACAGGGACCGAGGAGAGCAGGACAACAGAGGCGGTCACAGGGACCGAGCAGGAGCGGGGGAGCAGAGGCGGTCAAAGGGACCGAGCAGAGCGGGACAGCAAAGGCAGTCGCAGAGATAAAACCGAGCGGGACGGCAGAGACGGATATAGAGAGCGAACGGAACGGAGCGGCAGGGACGAAGACAGGGACCGACGAGGGACGAACGGCAGTGGAGGAGGCCGGAACCAGTCGGAGAAGGTGCGAGGACGAGGTAGCGTCCTGTCGCAGGAGGAGATGGATAGGAAGCGTCAAGAAATGATGGACAACGCCAAGCTCCGAGATCAGCAGCGGGCAGACAACCTAGCCAGGTCAGTGTCGACACAGGACAGGTGCTGCATCGCTAACATTGCCAGCGTAGTGGCTGCACTTTCATTCAACAAAGCACACGGTAACATACATTCTTAACGCCTTAGACGATCTAGTTCATACCGTTTTGTATTTGCCTTAGAGATGAATAAATGGGATTGGTTGAACAGGTAAGACAAATAGGACAAATAAGATGGGATTACAGGGTTTGACGTGGTTAGCCTTGTTGGGATGTTTGAGGGCGGCCGGTAACCATACTATGTCTGCTGTCCAGGGACGGTGCATGGGGATCAGTCATCGGAACCCAAACCATTTGTGCGGTATGCGGCCTATGAATGTATTTGGATGTATCGGTACATCTTACGTCGTGCAGATACGTGTTTAGTGTTACGTGGCTACTCAGTCACCACCGCTCTCGCTATTTAACCCTAGGCTTCCCTGGGCCCAGTCAGCTGGATCAACAAGCCAGCCGGGTTTGCTGCCGTGTTCAGGCGCAATGCCTGTCATGTGACCCTGGAGTGCGCCGTGACGTACCGCTCGAAACCGCCTGGTGACCCGGCCACGCGCCTGTGTCCAGGTACGACAGCGAGCAGGCGCGGGAGCAGCAGGAGCACGAGAAGGGCAGCGGCGAGGCGTCGTTTGTGCGGGACCAGCTGCGCGCCGCCGCCGACCGGGGCACCGTCGAGCAGCGCATCCGCTCCAACCGCTACAACATCCAGCGCTCGGCCGCCGCCATGGACCGCAGCTTCGTCAAGCGGTGACGGCCGGCCGGCACGATCTCGGTGTTCCGAAGGCCAGGCGTGTCATGTTTCTGAACTCGGCCCGCCCGCACTGCTGTCGCGCTGTGAGGGCCGTGGGCGGACACTCGACAGGCACCCACTCACGCACGCACAGGGAACTTCGCCCAGTATGCCCGCGAATGCTGCAGAACTGTGCCACAGGTGCGCTGGGCGGATAAGTGTTGGTACTGTTTGTAAAATACAAATGATGTATTTGATTTTTTACGTCCGCAAATTAACAAGCCCGACGAAGAAAGCACACATCTTCAACGGGCAGCGCACTGAGCATGATTTGAGAACACGTAAATGATCACGTGCAACATTTATAATCTAAACACTGTCAAAAACACGGCTGTTAACGGCGATTACCGCATTTCTCAACACGAAAATGTAACGTTTGTCTATAGCCACGTCTCGCCGTACCCAAGAGCCATCCGTGCGCGAAATCTAGATGCTGGAAACGAGCTTTTCGTTCCTCACCTACAGAGTATACCTCTAATCTACAAACCTGGTCAGCACTGAATCATCACAGCGGCACAAGCGCATGAACTGAGCTGATTGCAACAACAAGTCAACAGACGCGGAACAGCGCTGACCCAGAAAACACTTGATAAATATCACACTTATCTGCGGTCCGTGCCCGGACGGGAGGACGGGATCTGATCTTCGGCATGCCCTGTGCGCGCGCAGGGCGCGCCGAAGATCATATCCTCTATCAGATCGGCCCAAGGATCAGCGCAGCCTGGTTGGCCGCCGACGACGCGCCGGCTCCGCCAGGCTGGCGGCAGCGCTCCGCCCGGTCGGGCATCTACTTGTATATCTGCCACCGGTGGCACGCTCCTGGCGTTTTTGGCAGCCTCCCATTCCAGGGGTTCGTAAAGCCCCCAGGGGTGCCGATAGCGTAGTGGTTAACGCGTCTGCGTTGACCACTGCGCGTCTGGGAAACCAAAGGCGCTGGGTTCGGTTCCCCGCGGTGCCTGCCCTTCCTGCCAGGGTGGGAGGGAGGCGAGGCTATATAGCCTCAGTAGTTGGGTGCGTCGCAAAGCCCCAGTGACGACAACGACGACGTGAGATCCTTACGGTCCCCATCGACCTGTTCCCCAATTCCGAAAACAGGCTGGCTCTGGTCTAGTCGCGAGTGGGCTGCCGAATACGTGGCTGGCACCGATGCCTGGCCCCGTGAGACCGCCAGGCCAGACCGGTGGACGCCTCCCCGCACCACCCAGGCTCTCATCCGCCACACGGGGCCGTGTGCGACCAGCGGCCGTCTCCTGCGAGCATGGTTGCTGTGGCTGCTGGGCCCCGGTGCTGGATGGTGGACAGCGGTGCTGGATTCTGGACCGCTGCTGGGCTCGGAGATCGGTCTCAGCCTCACAGCACGGTCTCCAGCTCGGCGATCTCCACAGAGGCGGGTCTGCGACAGGTCAGCAGTCAACAGCTGATCATGGCTGCGACGGCGTGGGACACGGCCTCCGCGCCTACAGTGAATTCAAATCCGGAAGTTAGTACCTTTAGCTCGAACGTTGATAGATGACAAGTCACAGCGCTTCACTTTCAGCACTACATGTGTGAATAAACACAGTGAAGCAGAAGCCACTCTGAAAGCACACCCCTGGCGTCCCCAGGTAAGGTCTTCCCGCGACACGGTGCAGCTGGCCCTGCTGCCGGGCCCACACCCAGCGAGCCAGACGTGAGCGGCAGGGCCGGTGGCCGAGACGGCGCTCACCTCTCCTACTGTCGGTGGCCGAGACGGTGCTCACCTCTGCTGCTGTCGGTGGCCGAGACGGTGCTCACCTCTGCTGCTGTCTGTGGCCGAGACGGTGCTCACCTCTGCTGCTGTCGGTGGCCAAGACGGTGCTCACCTCTGCTGCTGTCGGTGGCCGAGACGGTGCTCACCTCTCCTCCTGTCGGTGGCCGAGACGGTGCTCACCTCTGCTGCTGTCGGTGGCCGAGACGGTGCTCACCTCTGCTGCTGTCGGTGGCCGAGACGGTGCCCACCTCTCCTCCTGTCGCTGGCCGAGACGGTGCTCACCTCTCCTCCTGTCGGTGGCCGAGACGGTGCTCACCTCTGCTGCTGTCGGTGGCCGAGACGGTACTCACCTCTGCTGCTGTCGGTGGCCGCTGAATCTGTCCGGGTTAAGTCGGATGAACTCAGCAGACTGTTGTGTGTACATGTGGTGGCGAACAGCGCTGGGGAGGCCCCGCTCGGGCCGCGTCACGATAGGCCTGGGAACGATCGACCGCCGCGCTCAGTGGCAGACACTGCACCGGTCACCGAGCCCCACAGAGGTCAGCGGTAGACACCATTGGGGACCGGTCGCAGCGCTCAGTGGCAGACAATGCACCGGTCACCGACCCCCGCAGAGGTCAGCAGCAGACACTGCTGAGGATCGACCGCTGCGCTCAGTGGCAGACACTACAACGATCGCCGACCCCCGCAGAGGTCAGCAGCAGACACCGCTGAAGATCGACCGCAGCGCTCAGTGGCCGACACTGGACCGGTCACCGACCCCCGCAGAGGTCAGTAGCAGACACTGCTGAGGATCGACCGCTGCGCTTAGTGGCAGACGCTGGACCGGTCACCGAGCCCCGCAGAGGTCAGCAGCAGACACTGCTGAGGATCGACCGCTGCGCTCAGTGGCAGACACTGGACCGGTCACCGAGCCCCGCAGAGATCAGCAGCAGACACTGCTGAGGATCGACCGCTGCGCTCAGTGGCAGACACTGGACCGGTCACCGAGCCCCGCAGAGATCAGCAGCAGACGCTATTGGGGACCGGCCGCAGCGCTCAGTGGCAGACACTGCACCGGTCACCAACCCCCGCAGAGGTCAGCGGTAGACACCATCGGGAACCGGTCCTCGAGACAGGTCACATCAGGTCACATCGGGTCGTATGGCACCGGATCAGGCTCGGTCAGGTCCACGGATGCCATATCTCCACATCGTTTTGGTATCCAGGTTCAGCACGTACTGTGGGTCAGACAGCTTGTTAAACAGCGTTGTGAGTTATGATCGCCTTACACCAGGCTCCGCATGAGCTCACCAAAGGCCTGCACTAGTGGAACCACCAGTGGATCTGGCGGAACCGCCAGCGGATCTGGTGGGCCCCGATTGAAGTAAGTTTTACGTGGGCGGGCCGTTTTTGTGCTTCGACCATACACGACAGAATCGAAGCAGACGGGACACCAGAATAACACAATGACGTGGTCGATGTGGCGCCTGGAGGCCATTCAAGTGATGACCCCGACGACTCGGGGTCATCACCCGAAGCTCAGCGCCAGAGACTGTCACCGACCTGTAGCGTTATAGGCGAGGGGGTTCACCAGTCTTTCGCTTGTTACTGAAGCACATTGGTTAATTGAGGCTTCTTTTGCCGACACATCGGCCTTAGAAAAGAAAACTGGAGACACTGGCTTAATGACAAGATTGATCAACATAGAGGAAACACGCTTATATTGACGGTGACTGACGCTTCAAGCTGTGCTTATGAACGCTAGACGCGACCGCAGGGTGATCGTGAGATCGCGACCGTCTCGTTGATGTGATGTGATATGATCGCGATAACTCGCGAGCTGGAAGCTGGAACACAGCTGGAAGCACAGCTGGAAACGAGCACTGCCAATATAACCAACGTTTGCTCTATAACGTCGCTTAATCAGTTCTTCCTGGTATGCTGAACGCCGATGACTCAGAATAAAAACTCGGAACTCATAACGTCGAAAAACCGGGAGCTAATGGCCTTTCTTGGTGAAACGAAGCACAATGGCAAGGTGTCTCTCTTTCATTTCACCGCCAAAGTAATACTGGTCCACAGTGGACATAAGCAGCCATTTTCGGCCAGAATGTGTTATCAGCAGTTACGATACTTCGGCTCGCCAGACTGCAGCCCGCCATTGGAACCGGGCGCACGGGCAGCTCTAGCTTCAAAGGGCCCTCCGCGTCACGACCCTGCGAAAGCCGCCAGCGGTGGGACGCCTGGCCTTTGACAGCACATCCGGCTTAGGGTGGCTGTTGATCCTGCCTGCGGCGCTCGCTGGCGACTCATAGGCGTCGGTGGCCGACCACGCGGCGCGCGGCGGTCAAAGCTGGATGTATGTGCACACAGTGTACGTCGAGCAGATGCGCCACGAGCAAGCGTGCACAGGGTGAGGCGCGCCGGCCGCGCCGGGGGCCCCGCCGTCGTTCGGGGGCGCCGCCGCCGTTCGGGGGCCCCGCCGCCGTTCGGGGGCGCCGCCACCGTTCGGGGGCCCCGCCGCCGTTCGGGGGCGCCGCCACCGTTCGGGGGCCCCGCCGCCGTTCGGGGGCGCCGCCGCCGTTCGGGGGCGCCGCCACCGTTCGGGGGCGCCGCCACCGTCCGGGACGCCGTCACAGTTCGAGAGCCCTGCCACGTCCGGGGGTACCACCACCGTTTGGGACGCCATTACAGTCTGGGGACGCCGCCGCCGTCAGGGGGTGCCGCCGCCGCCGTCAGGGGGTGCTCGCCCGGGACGCCACTGCCGTCCGGGGGCGCCGCCGCCGCCGTCAGGGGGTGCTCGCCCGGGACGCCACTGCCGTCAGGGGCGCCGCCGCCGCCGTCAGGGGGTGCTCGCCCGGGACGCCACTGCCGTCCGGGGGTGCCGCCGCCGCCGTCAGGGGGTGCTCGCCCGGGACGCCACTGCCGTCCGGGGGTGCCGCCGCCGCCGTCAGGGGGTGCTCGCCCGGGACGCCACTGCCGTCCGGGGGTGCTCGCCCGGGACGCCACTGCCGTCCGGGGGCGCCGCCGCCGCCGTCAGGGGGTGCTCGCCCGGGACGCCACTGCCGTCCGGGGGTGCCGCCGCCGCCGTCAGGGGGTGCTCGCCCGGGACGCCACTGCCGTCCGGGGGTGCCGCCGCCGCCGTCAGGGGGTGCTCGCCCGGGACGGCCACTGCCGTCCGGGGGTGCCGCCGCCGCCGTCAGGGGGTGCTCGCCCGGGACGCCACTGCCGTCAGGGGGTGCTCGCCCGGGACGCCACTGCCGTCCGGGGGTGCCGCCGCCGCCGTCAGGGGGTGCTCGCCCGGGACGCCACTGCCGTCCGGGGGCGCCGCCGCCGCCGTCAGGGGGTGCTCGCCCGGGACGCCACTGCCGT